TATCCCATAAATATAGCACACCTTAAGATTATATATATATATATATATATATATATATATATATATATATATATATATATATATATAATATAATCTAATAAATTAATTCATTTTTATCTATTAATCCGACATATTTTATCACTTTAACGTTTGTTTTTAGCTGATACAAATATTTAAATAAGGCTCCGTTTATTAATTAATCATTATAGTTATTTATTTTGCCGGATTGAATATTCGGGAAATCTTCTTAGAGAAATATATGAGATCTTCCGCAGTATTTGAAACTGTTTCTCCCCGTGCAGAGCTTGTTTATAACCACTGAATTGCGAGAAATAAGGATAAATAGAGCTTTAAATACTTCCCGTCCTATACTTTCAAACTTTTATATCCCGAATATTCATCTCAAACAAGGCGACAATGCAACTAAGACGCTCAGGGTGTCTGTGAGGGAAAAGTAATGAAAATAATTTAGAAGGAATCAGAAACTCAATCATAAACAGTAAACAAAAGATATATTCCTACTTCTGATTAAAACAAAAATACGGGCATGAATGTCAACTGGATGATAGCTGTAAAGAGGTTGTGTACGGTTTGAAATCTCAATAAATTGTCTGCTAAACAGTTATTTACTAACACCTGAGGAGATGTGTTAATATACATCGAAACATGACTGCATTTGTGTAGCGCTATTAACATGTTTTAATGTAAAATCCTAAAAGAAAATATATTGCTATATTAATGTATTGATCCCTCTTTTAAATTGAATGTTACGTTCTCAATTCATATTGATAGACGCAAACACACACATACATACATATATATATATGACAATGTAAATATATATATATATATATATATATATATATATATATATATATATATATATATATGAAAATGCATATATATATGAAAATTATATATACCACATGTGTATATATATATATATATATATATATATATATATATATATATATATATATATATATATATATATATACGGCCTTCGGGCTTAGTAGATGGTTTCCTGTTCTTTTTGCGGAGTTTTCGATCTAATATGCCCCAAAGGTGTTCAATAGGATTAATATCCGGGGACTGACTTGGCCATGGAAGTTTATTGATCCAATTTTGTCTCAACCAATGTTGCGTTGCTTGAGCAGTGTGACATGGAGCTCCAATCTTCCATAAACAGGAAGTTAACTTTGCTCATTCTACTACTTTAGAATATTCGAAGGAGATCTTTCTTTAATATAGAAAAATATTTCGTTGAATTAATGTTTCCTTCACACTCCACTCTTGACTACAGAGTCCCCATACCCCTACTCTTCCACTGTCGGAAAATAATGCGAATCTTGACTCATCAGAGAAAATGACAGTGATTTAAAAGGTCACAGGTCTCTCCACCATTTCATGAGCCCAATGCTTTCTGCGTTTGATATTGGCTGGACGGAGAAGTGGTTTCCTTCTCGCAAATTTGTCATAGTAGCCCAGCTTGTGAAGATACCTGACAGCTGTTCTGGGACTGACATCAACATGTGTTGCTATGTCAGAAGCCATGCAACGTGGATCCAGTTCAACATTTTTTTCGACAAGACATATGGTTCTTTCATAGGACCAAGGGCGGCCTGGATGAGGTTTTGTGCACATCTTGCCCTATCTGGTGAACTGTACGATCACTCTATTAACAGTAGAAAGGGGTATTGAAAGATTTTCAGATATTTTTCTTTGATTAAGACCACCTTCATGTTAGCCCACGATACGTCCTCGCTGAAGTTCGGATAGGTCTGATGCTTCTTTGGTTCGAGGCATGTTACAGTATTGTTATCTGCAATTTTAATCAAATAATGTAAGTTAACTTTTCTTGGTTATTAAGAAGATTTGAGTTAATTTATTTTGATTATTAAAAAAAAATGAGAAATAAAATTTATCTTGGTGTCTATTCAATTCTGTCACGTCTATATATATATATATATATATATATATATATATATATATTTATTTGGGGGGTTGTGTATATATATGTATATAAAGATATATATAAATATGGTATATATATATATATTGTGGTGTCATATATATATATAAATATATATATATATATATATATATATATATATATATATATATATATATATATAACGACAGAACACATATATATATATATATATATATATATATATATATATAACTACACAACACAAGTATATTTACATGCATACTTTATAAACACCCTTACTCAAACGCGTGCATACATATATTTATATATATGTTTGTGTGTATATGTGTGTATAAGCATATACATCTAAATACGTCCATACATACATATATGTGTATACATATATATATATATATATATATATATATATATATATATATATATATATATATATATATATATATATATATATATATATATATATGAATGTGCGTGTCTGTTTTTCAGTGAATTGAGCTGTCGAGTATTGTATTCATTTCTATTACAATTGCAATATTTTCATAAGTACACGCACCCACGTTCTCACTCATGTACAAAGAGAAGAAAATAAGTAAAAAAAAATATGCGAACCTCTTTATGTATGAATCGAACATGATAATTTCTGTAATTAAAGTTGCATTAAGTGAATATTTCAAACGGATACTTAATATCTACAACTTGGCACGCATTCTAGTGCTTGATAATTCTATTATAACAGGTACCTTTCTTTAGCAATTTCTATATGCGCAGAATATATGAATGCTTAAATGTTAGCTCATCTTTCAGTGAGACCTACTGAATTGATATCTTTAGTGAAGGAAAATATTTGTATAATGAAATAAATGCATTGTCGAAAACGTAGGCGTTTGACTCAAGTGCAATCCGAGATAATAACCATTATTTTGATCTCATATCCTGACACGAAAATTCATATATTATCTCTACACCACCTGGCAATTATGCTAATTTAAAAGGCTTTTAGTTAAGGCAATAATGTAGGTTATGCTATGAGTGCATCTGCTCCCTCGGATATATTGGTAGGTTATTTAACTCTTATTGTATAGATAGATAGATAGATAGATAGATAGATAGATAGATAGATAGATAGATAGATAGATAGATAGATAGTTTAAAAAATATGATGTGATAGTTATATAAATAGATAAATACATAAATTATATGAAACAAGATGTCCGTGATAGATAGAATACATGAAAGAATAAGACAGACAAATATATATAAAGAAAATAATATATATATATATATATATATATATATATATATATATATAAAGAATATATATATATATATATATATATATATATATATATATATATATATATATATATATATAAAAGAATATATATATATATATATATAAAGAATATATATATATATATATATATATATAAAGAATATATATATATAAAGAATATATATATAAAAAATATATATATATAAAGAATATATATATATATATATATAAAATATATATATATATATATATAAAATATATATATATATATAAAATATATATATATATATATATATAAAGAATATATATATATAAAAGAATATATATATATATATATATAAGAATATATATATATATAAAGAATATATATATATATATAAAGAATATATATATATATAAAGAATATATATATATAAAGAATATATATATATATATAAAATATATATATATATATATATATAAAATATATATATAAATATATATAATATATATATATATATATAAAGATATATATATATATATATATATATATATATATATATATATATATATATATATATATGGAGAGAGATAGAGTGATAGATATTGATATAGATACATAGATAAATGAGTCAGTTTAATGAGCTAGATAGATATTTAGATTGATTGAATATATTGTATTTTAAATGGGCACACGTCTCATTAATTTCCTTTCATTTTCTCTCATCCGCAACGTAATAAAAATAACTGAACATATACATTGGTTCGTTTTTATAATATATTAGAAATAAATTTTTAAACGTCTGAATTTGAAGTATTACAATAATGAGGAAGTGACATACAGAATGAAATAAACATTCTATGTCATGCTTTTCTATTCTCTTATAATCTTCATCCGGTTATATACATGCAGGCGAAGCGGGAAAATATAAATTAAATGTATACCCCTCCGCACAAAAATTCACCAGATATATATAATATAAAATTCTAAAAATCTGAATAAACAGTAGTTAAAAAGTAAAAATGATTTTACAAAACAACACATTCAATTCATTAGTCTTACATTGAAAGAAATTTAAACATACATTTCGTTTAATAATTTTATAGAAAATAATTTAGAAAGGTGAAAAAAGTATAGAAATTGCACTGATTTATATGCCTTCCTCTATATTTTGTGGCAAGCCATGATCGCTATCTTCCGGAATGGACACTGCACAGAGAATAATAAATATATGTTTTGACAGTAAATAACCCAAAATATTTTAATATACGGTAAAATAAATCAAATAATCAATTTATAATATTCATTAGTTGATCGAACTTACTGATCAAATTTTCGTAAAGTCAAATATCATCGTCTACTCCTTAATAGACCCCAATCTACCTTAAGGGATACGTATTTGAAACATTATGCCAACAGATATCTAATCTTTCTAATAACACATCCAAAATTATTTAACTAATTTGTAATTATCAGAATCGAACTAAATAATATTCCGTGGAAATTACAATTCGAAACCCTGTCAGCTGAAATGAGATAACGATTTATAAGAAAAATAAAAAATGCCAGTAATTCACAGCGGGACTTTCTCTGCAAGCAAGCATATTTCTTAACAAAATGAGGATGTTAAAGATTTGGAGGAGAGAAAAAAAAAGGTTCTATTTTGGTTGTGCATGTTTAAGTATCTTCGTGCCAAATTCTGAATAGAATCATGCAAGGCTTGCTAAGAAAAAGTTCCCGAAGAGTGAAGCAAAGAAAACTGTATAATGATGAGAAGTCTTTGTTTAAGAGTTATGCGAGAAAGGCATGCAGATGTAAGAGATTTATTTGAGAAACGAACATCTGCCTCTTGTCGAGGTAATCATCCATAATTGCTGATGTCCAGAGACATTCTTATGGATTGACTCGAAAAGAATATATTGCATCTGCTTCTATATATGAGCCGTCTCTTCCCACTGTGTCTGCTTGTCTGAATGTGCACTGTCTCCAAAATAATTCAATAAAAATTCTTAAAAATACATAAAGCAAATATAGATAAACAATAGTCAGTATCTACCTATCTATCTATCTATCTATCTATCTATCTATCTATCTATATACATACATACATACATGTTTATATATATATATATCTATATCACTCTATAATACTTGGTTCTATTGAAATAAAAAGAAACATTGACTTCAGCCATTATTTTGCATTTTCCAGAATGTGGAGAACAGTTTTAAATTTTACAAATTTTCAAACATGTTGGTGTTGATATTTCAAATACTGTATTGTACTAGTGTAACCAGCCTAAATATTGCTTTTAAAATGCATGCTTTTATTCCCAATATGGGCAGTGCATTGTGGCCGTGTTAATGATTAGATTTTAAGGATTAAAAAACAGAATTCTCCCAGGCATGCATGAATGCTAATAACTTTAGAGGCTTTTATGATAGTATATCACTCATGCTGTAGCTACAGATAATGGCAAATAGATACATTTATGTACGTATATATGTATGTACACAGATAGATAGGTTCGACATTTCTCACACACACACACACACACACATATATATATATACACACATATGCATATATACATATGTACATATATATATATGCACGCAGATAGATAGGTTCGATATTATATATATATATATATATATATATATATATATATATATATATATATATATATATATATATATATATATATATATATATATATATATATATATATATATATATATAGTTACAGACTCATATAGAAATAACACTAACCCACATGGATTAATGTAGCTTGCATTTTGACCTTAACAATTAAAGATCGGAAAAAACACAGCATTATAAATTTCACATCTGAATTCCCATTTAACTGTTTTAATACAAATGTGCGTGTATGTATATATATATATATATATATATATATATATATATATATATATATATATATATATATATATATGTGTGTGTGTGTGTGTGTGTGTGTGTATAATGAATGTCTGATATGTCTCTGCCACTATGTGATATGAGTGTGTACCTGTGTGATATTTGTGCGTGCTTGTGTGTTATGTATGTGTGATGTAATGAATGCCTGATGTGTATGTATGTCTGAGACTTTGTGTGTGTATGTGTGTGTTGCAGCAAGGCTTTCCAAGGTTGTCGTGAAGAGTACCTTGATCACTTTAATCAATATTTTAGACACCGATTAGTAGGTTCGATGGCAGCATAATTACTGTAGTCGTCCTTGGCCGTTGCCCAAAGGCAAAATCAGAAAATTGGAAGCTGATTTACAACGCCGTGACTGTATATAAGCATAGTACAATTAATGTTAACCTTAATGTTTCCTCATTGTAGCAACAACTCTGTTGAGAACCAGAATTTGCTCTTATTAGACTGTTATTATTTCCAATAATTATTCGGCAGCTCACTGACTCGATCTTTTCACCCTCCATTTTCCCAGAAAATGACACACATGGTATAGCAAGTTCAAAGGACATAACACTGATGGAACGAAAATTGGAGATATTTAATATAAAACGTATAAACTTGTAGATCTGACCTAAAATTATCGGTGTGGTTGCGATGGTCTTCATGTGCTGTGTTATCACACGACGTCGGTTATCATGGCTCTCCACAAGTTCCTGTCTCTTGTAGCTCTTAATAACCGTTGTATACCTGTTCCTTATCCTGGGTCCTGTTCGGCCATCCATTTAACGAAGCTCACCAAGTGTGTTATGCGTTGCTTTCCTCATCTTCTCTTGATCTCTATCTTTCCCGTGAGAATCAGATTTTCCAAGCACTTTTCCTCATTATATACCCCGGAAACACCAAGTATCTTTTCTTGATGTTAAGGGTTAGTTTCCTTTTTGTTCCAATTTCCTAAAACAAAATCGTCGTTGCTCATATGTTAGGTCAATTGTATCCAGGGCATTCTTCTTTGGAACCATTTTATTGTGGCTTCAAGTTGCCTCTTCAATTTTGCGAACATCGTTCAGCAATCTCTGATATACAGAATGACAGATATCACGTAGCAATTCAGCACATTTTCCCTTCGTTCTAGTGAAATATCTTATTACTCTGCTAAGATTTTGGGATACTCACTTTGCTATCCCAGCATGACTTCGGATTTTATAGTCATACATTGCGTTCTCTGTTAAAGCACATTCCAGATATTTAAATTTTACGCACTTGAATCATTTTCGTATCCCCGATTTACAATCCGTATTATTTGCTCTTCCTTTTGTAACAACCAATAAATCTATCTTCTTGCAATTGATCTGTTATACTTTCTTCTCTATTTGATTCACTATCTTCTGTAAGGATTTTGTAGCTTTCTTTCTGTATCTGTCTATATTTCTGAGATGAGGTATTATGTACACTATTTAAATTATTCGAACTATTGTACTCATCTTTGTCACCATATTTATTACAACGTTTCGGCCGTTGTGGGTTCCGGCCTTCTTCAGGTGTTTGGAATGTCGAACTCAACCCTTTATTTCTCTCGTTGGGGTAGGCAGTTCTAGTTCCACGTGCCATGTCTAATGAATGTCAGTTATCAGTTATCTCCTGCTTAATTCCGTCTCCATGTTCTTCACCCCCTTAACCAGGTATTGAACTCACACTCTTTAGGTCTTGTCACTGGATATAATTAACGCCTTTATCCACTTTGAGGACACATGGCACAGTGGATAAAGACGTTACTTAGATTCAGTGACAGGACCTACAGAGTGTGACCTGGTAAAAATCGGCGGAGATCTGGTAGATGGGAATTAACAGGAGATAACTGATAACTGACATCCATTAGACATGGCACGTGGGACTAGAACAGTGTACCCCAGCGAGCGAAATAAAGGGTTCAGTTCGGCATTCCAACCAACTGAAGAAGGGCGGCGCTTTCTTTCTGTGCCTGTTATCAATACTGTGTCATATGCATACCTTATTTTGTTAAGATTGTGGACGCCAGAAATGAGTCCTGGTAGGAGTTCTAATTCCCTCAGAATTGCATTCTCTGTATAAGTATGAATAAGTCCGGTGCGTAAGCACATATCATTCTATTTTCTATATCTGCTGATCTCATTTTCTATCGATATGCAGGCAGATTGGTGCCAGTATTATTTCTTGATTATTCTAATTTCCTTCCCAAATATGTCAATGTTGCTGAGCCGTTCCAAAAGTTCTTTGTCATTTAATTTATCAAACGCCTTTGCGTAATCTATAAAACACTGATACACGTCCTTCTGCATTACTATTGTTCTTTCTGATATCATATTGAACATAAATATCACGTTCTTTTTTCCAGTGACTTTGATTAATCCGTACTATTCCTGTCCTATTTCTCTTCTAATTCTGCTGTGCGTTCTATATTCATTAGAATTCGGATGATAAGTTTGGTTATATGGCTCATTAATCTGATGGTCCGTCTTTATATAGCTTCAGTCGCGATATATTTCGATCAAACCTCATCTATCTATCTATCTATCTATCTATCTATCTATCTATCTATCAGTCTATTTAATCTTTTCCTCGTTTGTTTAATCTATTATTTGTCTGTTTACAAACACAGAGTTGAAGAGATGGGGGCACAGATCATTTGTGCATTTTATCTCGAATTCTCCAATGAAACTCTCTATAGAAGAAAAGGACACTTCTTTATGGTGTAATTGTTAGCAAACGTCTCTCGCTAGATCAATTACGACTGAATAGTGACTTCGATTCTCATTGGGTGCCCTGTACTATCGGCCTCGTGACACATCTAAGCTACGATTAGAAAATCACTCTCTATATAACCGTTCTGCTTTTTCTCTTGATGCCATTGTACTGATTTCATTTGGTACTCATGAACGGTATAATAATTATCTTGAACATAAAAGGACCATCCCCCACCCAGAGTTCCAAGAAATAGTATCTTTATCTCTTCAAAACAGAAATTATGATCTGAAATAAGAAACAAATAAGTGATGGCACATACATTGAAACTGTCATAAAAAAATTAAGATGTCGAAGTAGTAATACAAGTAATTTAGAAATACTAAACACTTCAGATGTCTCGGCCAATGGATCATTTAGAACAAATTTTGTATAGGAGAGAAAGAAATTGTATTAGAATAATATGTGCCAGAGTTAGTTACCCTCAACACCGTAACTTGCTTTAAAACCAAAAGATTGATATTAAAGCTCAAGACATGCCTCTTCAGCACGCAACTTTCAAATTGATGTCATGTCTAGCTGCAAATGCTTCCAAATGTACAGAAACTGTTTTATAAATCATTTTCTAGGATCAATGTATAAAAATGCCTTTGAGCGTTTAAAGCCTGAGGATGCACGGCAAAATACAAACTTCTTTAAATATTGCGGACTAAAAACGCATTACTTGATGATTCCCAACAGTAGCAACAACTAAAATGTACATGATAAACCTATTTAACTTAAAAATTGCCTAAAGAGAAAGTTTATATAAATGTCAAGCGAAAGCAGTACAGGTGGATCGGTTAATGAATGTCAAATATTTCCTTTAGGGTAATGGCAATAATTATCATTACTAAAGCCAGCCTAGAGCGAAAAGTGAGAACTGCTGACATGTATGGAAGTAGCTTCCAAGTTTCACTTTCCAGTCTCATTAGACGAAATGTTTTCCCGCTTATTGGTTTGTGATTAATTTCAACCTTTCTTCCAGACGTACCGATTCAAGCCTCTCGTAAATCTATCGCTATTTCCTTGAAAAGTGTACTTCGTAATGTGTATCTCTCGACTTCGAGTAGTTATTATGCATTATAAAAGGTGAATATTAATTTCAAAAAATATTATTGGTCAATCTGTACTCAGGATTTCAGTGGAAAGTCCTGCTTGTAAAGATGTCCAAGAATATACAACATACCAGGTGAATGTCCAATCCGTCTAACAGCATATTTGTGCAATTGTCAGTTTCAAATTTTAACAGTTGTATCTTAGATACGAATAAAGATATCATACTGGTATTCTCAGAGCATTTTATAACACTATATCACTTCGAGATATAAGATTGTATAATCACTCTTTAAGCTTAACAGAAGAATCGTGAAGAATTCGATCATGAATGAAAATAACAGGTTCATGATTAATTAATCACTGCTAAGGATCAGAAGCTCATGAAGGAATGAAATGAAGTTCATATATATATATATATATATATATATATATATATATATATATATATATATATATATATATATATATATATGAAGAAATATAGTTTTAAGGTGCGCTATATTTATGGGATAAAGTGCTCAAAATCATAGAGCGTATGTAAATATAAATATAAAACTGAACATTTAATTCAACACTCTGAGGCGACAGGCTTTTTCCTGTTGGACGACGCAATCGTCAGACAGCCTGAGGTTTGCGTCCAGCATGAAACAGCCTGTCGCCTCTCAAAGTTGAATATATATATATATATATATATATATATATATATATATATATATATATATATATATATATACACACCCACACACTTACATATGTGCGTATCTGTGCGTATTTATAGGTGTGTATTATTCCAGCCTCATTTTGCAAATTATTCAAGATGATCTTAGCCCTCTCTAATCTTCTAACTTTGTCCTGGAGTAACAAAGTGCTTCAGTTTTCACTTAAGATTTCGTAATTTAAGGTAACCCAAAAGCAACCTGTACGACAGAAAGTTTCCTCGAAGTACTTATCAGTACGCCAACCATGAAAGGTGCAACTTGAGCTGCAGCTTAAATAAATTTCGTCGATTTGTATTTTCGCCGCCTCTACTATCACGATCTTCCTATACTATTCATTGTCACCTGGGTTCCATCCAGAGACCTAATGTCAAAAATGGTTTCATGATACTTTCCACTGATCATTTTTTTAACACAGAAATCTAAGTTCACACATTCTTCATAGATAAATTTCTTCGTAATGTGTAAGATCTAATTGTGAGTACGATTTTTTTTGTATTTCTTTAAGGCATGAACTTCCAGGAATCCCTTTAATTGGTATATCGGTAGCTTTTTCAAACACGCCGTAGACTCCAACTACAACTGGATTTAGTGTTATTATGTGCCACATTTTTTACATTTCCACTTCAAGATACTTGTATTTTGTTAGATTTTTGATGTTCTTCAACAATACATTACTATCTGCAGGCAATGCCAAGTCAAATTATTATTATTATTATTATTATTAATAACAATAAAAATAACTTGTTCTGACAAGTACAGCCCACACTTTACGAAGGGCTTTATCTATGTAATTTTTTTTTTTTTGGTCAGTGGAAAGTGTCATGATGCCATTTCTAACCTTTGGTCCCTGGGCGGGACCAGGAAAGAAATGTGTAAACGCCAGAAATCAAAGAAAATAAAAATAAAAATAATAATAATATTTTTTCTCTTACATTAGTCGGTGCGTGTATGTGTACATGTTTACTAATATCTCTCTCTCTCTCTCTCTCTCTCTCTCTCCCTTGTTTGTATATATATATATATATATATATATATATATATATATATATATATATATATTATGTACATGTGTATTTATCCGCATTGACAGGTATCATGTTGTATTATTTTTTTTAATTTTTTTTTATTTTGTTTTCATGGCTACAGGTGTAATTTTCCTACAATGCTCTGCCCTTTGACTATCATGTCTTTGTGTGAAAATTTAAAAATATATCTTTTAGAGGTTAGTAGGCTGTGAGATGACCGGAAAAGTATAACTTTTACTCCCTTGCTTCTACCCCTTTGTTTAATGAATTCTTTGTTACCCCCCCCTTCGAATCTGTAGTATAAGTCCAGCCTACCCCATAAAAATTGATAAGTATCTGTCGTTGGCGACGGAAAATTGAACATTTGTGGAAAGTCACTTTTGCCATGCTCCGAACTTGTAAGAAATGGTAAATATGCCATTTTTGAATGATACTTTTCCTGTAGTTGGATATGGTTCTAAATTCTTTTGACTGAAGTTAATTCTTTCCTTTTCAGTTCCCTTTTCTCTTCCCCTTTCTTTGTTTTAACTTTTATTTCAATTTTCCGCCCCCCCCCACCGACCTTAAGCGGACTTCCGTGTCCATTTTTCACCTTTTTTTTTGTTTTTTAAGTCTATATACTATTTATCCCCCTTGGAGTAGTCACTCCCACTTATACTAAGTTAAAACTTAGTATAGTCTCCCCCACTGAATACCATACACTCTTATGAACTATTCTACCTTCGTTATATTAATAAATCCACAATCCCATTTTTTGGGGCGTGCTCATGGATCTTCTTCGAGACTCGTCCTAAAGCAGGTAACCTGAACATAATTACCTCTTGGCGGTCAAGGTTAAAACGCATCTCTACTAATTTTAATGAATACGAATAATATTTCATACCGGATCGGCCGTCACCCGGGACAACAAGGGCCGCGTCCCTCAGAGAGGAACCAGTCTGAGGACGAAAAGTCTGTCACTGGAACAAACTCTTCCACACACGAAGAGACACTAGGTCACCAAACCCGGATTATTGCCAACCTTAGACCATGTGAAATGTGTAAACGCCAGAAATCAAACATAATAATAATAATAATAATAATAATAATAATAATAATAATAATAGTAGTAGTAGTATTTTCTTTGAATTTTTTTGTATATTCATTTTCATTTCCGGGCCTCTTCAAGTTGTCTGAGAAGATTCCAATAGAGGATATGCCATGCCATGATGGATAAAGATTTCATATTATTATTATTATTATTATTGTTATTTGTAATTTAAAAATAAAATTATTTTCAGGCCAAAATAAGAAAAGTGGGCATTAATAAATTTTGAAAAAAAAAACAGGGAAAATAAACAGGCGCATTTTGAAATTCCTGTTCTTTCGTGTTAAGCACATATGTACAAACACAGTTCTCTCCCTTTATACGGTTGATCATCATGATTTATACACTTAATTGATGGAATGGTTTCGTTTTGTATTCATTTCGTTTAGTCCACTTTACATTACTTGCATCTGTTTTGCAATCCATTCTACACTCAGCTAAAAAACGGGAAAAAAACACATCACCTTAATCACGCTCACTGACATGAGCTATATCCCCTGTGTTTATTTTTTGTTTGTTTAGAAATATCTACTTTATTTTCACCTTCTCTTTGACAAGCCCCTATTATAATTTACGCTTCTTGGGATTACATCGCCATGTTTATTGTATTGTTATTCTCTTGATTTTTTTTTTCTGTAACGACAAAAATAATTTATTGGTATGTATCTTTTTGTTTTACTTTAGTAAAAGCTATCCATATGCATACATGCATATATACATGCTCATGCCCACATGTAAACACACACGCATATCTGCCTATCATTTATGCGTGCGTGTGTATATATATATATATATATATATATATATATATATATATATATATATATATATATATATATATATATATATATATATATATGTGTGTGTGTGTGTGTGTGTGTGTGTGTGTGTGTGTGTGTGTGTGTGTGTGTGTATGTATGTATGTATGTGTTTGTGTGTGGGGTTATCTACGAGTTGGCCGCGTGTATCTAATGGATATAACATGTGATGTATTAAATTGCTCGCTCGTAACTGTCTTCTGAATGATGAGATCATATATCTTAATTGTGGGTCCATTTCGTGAAGTTGAAGCTGACTGAAGATCTTAAAACATGCCTGCTGTATTCAATTATGTTGTTTGCTTAAATCGCAGTTAGGGCTTTTAAAATAAGAATAAGCTTTCAAAAGTAGATGTTGAGGTGTTGATATTTATAGAACTATTATATTTTTACTTGTATGTTTGCATCTGTCATACATTGTGAAACGGCAGTGCTGAAATATATCCAACATCCTCAGACCTACAAACACGAAAAAATATGAATAAATATAAACAAAGACCCGCACACAAAAAATATTACAACTGAATACATCTGGATATATCTGTAGAAATATATATGGATACATCTGGATATATCTGTAGAAATATATATATATATATATATATATATATATATATATATATATATATATATATATATATATATATATATATATATATTTAGTATTGCCTGTCTGTACGTTTGCAGTTTAGATAAAACAAGTAAAAAAATATCTGTGAATCTTATAGCAGAAAACGGAAAGCTATACAGCGAAATCCAATGGCACATTGGGAGCGCTAAAAATGCATTTCAAATGTTAAGCAGTGTACTGATAAAGAGAAAAAACAAACTTTATTAGAAACAAAGAAAAGAATACTAAACAGTTACGTAATATCTGTCTTCCTATTTGGTAGTCAATTCTGGACAATCTCCTCAAAGATGAAGAAGCAACAGAAATATCGTACTGCAGAAGGATGCTGAGAATACCGTGGAATGAACTTTAGTGTAACGACGATGATGAAAATGAAAATAAAATGAAAACTCATGCCTACCATAAGAGGCAGACTAAATTTCTAGGACATATGATGAGGAAGGAGGGCTTGGAAAATCTGATACCAACAGGACGGAATGAAGGCGAGAGGCACAGAGGAAAACAACGTATAATATACTTAGTGAGCTTGAATAAAAGGACGGCTGAACAGAGTTGAGAAGAAATAACAAAAAATTTAAAAAAATAAAAAAAAATATTAATAGTTTCAAAGCACGGGAAGTTAAGGAGAGCCATTATCAACGTCCTGAGTCTACACGGCAAATAAAATGGAGGAAATTAAATGAAATTCTTATCGTTTTGATGGGTCCTTATATGAGTTAAATTAGAATATAATTTATGTCTGAATTTCTGGAATGAAGGAATATTTACAATTGCATTCTGACTAGTCTTCTTTCTTTGTTATTGTCACACAGCTTCGGTTGTTGGGTTGCCCGGCCTTCTTCCTGATAGGAAATTCGAACTGAACACTTTATTCAGATCTTCCTCATTTTATTTTCAATATTTTGTATTGTTTATCATTTTTTTCGTACAACTTGTTTTTTTATACTTTTCAGTTATTTCTCGTCTTATTTCACTTAATTTCAGATTGAACTCACAATTACTAACTTACCAGTTTCAGGAACCATCTACGTAAATATACTGTTGAAAAAATCCGGGTTAAAAATTTGAAACTATAACAAAATGTTCTCAGTACCTTCTTGTCTTCCGGATTTTGCCGCTAAGATGCATTTTTTCTCCAAATCCCTTTTCTTTAGTAAGGAAATAAAAGGACTTTATCCTAAAGCCCAAGTTTTTCCTAATTTGTATTAATAATCTTGCCAATCTCATCAAATTTAATCTTTATTTTTTATTAATTAATCTTTATTTATTCCTTTCTTAATGGTAAGTGTTTTCAGGCCAAGAAAATTAAATTAATCTCACATAGATCTGATGCATGTTGTTAAGTGTGCCAAGGAATGGCTTTTTAATTTTAGCGCACATGATTTTTCTCTCCTTTAATAGTCTTAGAGAACCGGTTTTGTCTTCCACCTGCATGACCGATGTTAAATTATTACGACATCTCGAGTTAACGTTTTACGCTGTCATGAAGTGGAATGATTATATCGAATCAACTGCTAGATGCGTTGCTAGAAATGGAGGTTCACTGTGTCATGCTAGACAATCTGTCTTGAGAAACTCTCTCTTACAAACTTTTAAGTCGGCCATACGTCTATGCATTAAATATTGCTACCACATTTGGTCTGAAGAATGTGCTATATATTTCGATATTCTTGACAAAATCTAAACAAGAATATGCAATGTTATCTGTCCTGATGTGTCATCTCAGTTTGAATGAATTCCCTAACGCCATTAGATAACTTCTCTGTTGCTTTCTAGAAATAATTCCCTGATAAGTATTCTGATGAGGTTTTTTTTTTCTGTTTTGGTTCCCCGACTACAGGAATTTATGCGAAATATTAGAGGCAGAAAGGTTTCATCATGTTACAGTTGGAATGATTAGAGGTAACCGTAAGTTCTATGCTAAATGTTTCTTCCTCCACATTTATCGCTTGTGGAATTCCCTTCCGGCTACAAGCTCTGTTCTTAAAATATTAAAATCTGTTGTCAAGCCTCTTCTTTGGTCATCTTAATTGCTCTTCTTTTACTGGGCGCTTTCCTTAAAAAAAACAGTTTATCTTTTTCGCATATTCTTTTGCACTCCGAAACCACTTGCATTTTAGTAGTTCATTGACCATCTTGGTGGGCATCGATTAATAAATAATGATGATTAATATATATATATATATATATATATATATATATATATATATATACAGTGTATCACAAAAGTGAGTACACCCCTCACATATATAACAGAGTTAATTTCTTTTCCCCTCAAAATACCTCAAAATATAGCCATTAAAAGCTAAATCCCTGGCAACAAAAGTGAGTACACCCCTACATGTTGAGGTTCATGTTTCCCTCAATGAAATGTAACTCTCCAATACCTTCAGCACTCATGCAGCCCCAGACCATGACATTCCCACCACCATGCTTGACTGT